AAGATCACTTGATAAAAAAATGGACAAGCTTGAAACAGCTTTTATGTGTACATTTTGGCATAGCATTTTACAGCGCTTTGAAAAAGCAAGTGCAGCTTTGCAGTCTGTGGAACTGGACTTGTGTACAGCTGTGGATTTGGTGGGATCCTTGCGGGACTACATTGGAGGTCTGAGAGATCAATTTGATAGGTTTGAGTCTCAAGCAAAGAAGTTGTCTCCAACAGTTTCACAAGCTTACAGAGTTACTGGTCGAAGATCAAAGACTCCAAAACCATTTTTTGGAGAGAGCGCCACCTCAGAGGTTGACTTATCAGCTCAACAAAAGTTCTCCACCAGTGTTTTTTTGGTGGTTGTTGACAGATTGCTTTCTGAAATCAATCGCAGGTATATTGCATATGATAACCTCAACAACACTTTTGGCTTCCTGAACAATATTTCTGGTGTTACTGTTCCAGAGCTAAGAAACAAAGCATCTCATCTCCAAAGTAAATATTCAGCTGACTTGGAGATGGACTTTGTGGAAGAAATTGTCCAGTTTAAAGATTTTATTCGTGATAAAGGCATCACATCTGCTCGATTGCTTTTACAATTCATTAGGGAAAAGAAACTGCAGGACATCTTCCCAAATGTGGATATTGCTTTCAGGCTTTACCTGACATTTCCTGTCACAAATGCAAGTGGTGAGCGATCATTCTCCAAGCTTAAAATAGTTAAAAATAGACTCAGATCCACAATGGGACAAGAAAGACTGAACCATTTGACTCTCATGTCTATTGAGAGTGATCTAGTGAGAAAGCTGGACTTCAGTGATCTTGTCAAGGAATTTGCAGTAAAAAAATCCAGAAAAGTGGGCAACTTTTCAAATTTCATATCAGACTAAGCTTAAATGTCTGATAACCCTTTCACTCATTACTGAAAGGGCTTGGTGTTACTGGTTAGGGCAGTGGTGTCCAAACTTTCTGACATGAGGGTTAAAATTATCTCAAAAGAACTTTGGGGCTGTAAAATAATTTGAAAACAAACTTGGTCTTTTTTAAAGTTTATCTGCTAAATTAAAGTAAAAATTTAAATGATTGTAGATACAAAACAAAGATTGAGCCTGTCTTATAATGCACATGCACAAAGTTTCAAACTTTTCAAGGTTTAGTATTGTTTTCTTATTTGGTTTGCGTTTGAGTAAATGTAGGTCGTGTTTGTGGTTCGAGTTCCTACAAAGAAGTTAAATGCAAAAGTGTCATTAATAAATGGAAATCTGTATTTGGTTCTTCATATTTTTCAAAATTTCTCTGTAAAAACCTTGGTCTAGAAGATGAAAATTGTTCATGTTCATGTCCACCTCTGCTTTGGACTTGACAGCACTTTGGACTTACCTGGGTCAGGATATTTTCTGAAAACTACAGTATGCCTGATCTCTTTTATATTGTTTATATCCATGTTCTGTCTGACTGGCAGAGAAGTACTTTTTTTTTTACATTTATTTCCTCCAGAGTTGTTTGTAGTTTGTGACAACTGGCTTATTAAAGTTGTAAGTTGTCAAAACTTACTGTTCGGTCATTTTCTGCTCATCCTCTAAAACAAAACAAACACATACTATATATATATATATATATTTTTTTTTTTTTTTTTTTTTTTTTTTTTGACTCTAGCCCAGGGGCCCCCATGCTGACTCCAGCCCAGGGGCCCCCATGCTGACTCTAGCCCAGGGGCCCCCATGCTGACTCCAGCCCAGGGGCCCCCATCCTCCTAAATCCGGCCCTGATTATATGATTACATTACATTACAAGACGGCTGGTAAGCGCTAGGATCAGCAAAATTTGTAAGTGGTGCTATGACAGCTGTCAACCTCAGGGGTTTTTTTGAACATGGAGAGTGATGTCCCTGTCCTTGTAGGAACTGGCAGTGTGTTCTACCAAAGAGGATGAAATGCTATATCAAATGCTACATCAACCAACGAGGATGAAAATGCTATATCAACAGTCTCTGGGCGCGCGTTCATGCATGTATGTGGTGCCACGGATGAAGGAAGGAAATACTGTAGGCTATAAAATAAAACCGTGCATCTTTAACTTACCAGAATGAAAATGCAGGGAACACACTCGCATTGACATCGGGATACTGTGGAAAGTTATGTTCTGTCGTCTTACAGCCGCGATCCAAGCTAGCCGACGACTCTTTGTTATCTGTGAAACTTGGTCTCCGTGTTTGCGCCTCCAGGCAGGAAAGCGTGGAAAGTTATCCCATTTTGTAGGTTTTTCCCTCGGCGATCATGTGATGCGCTGTTACAGCCCACAATACTGCAACGGTTTACCATGGTTGAAATCAAGTTACGGTGAAATTAAACGAAATAAAACACGGCTGAGAGGGAGTACAGTACGCGTTAGTCACAGGTAATAATCTAAGGAAGCCGTAAAGTGCGCCGTCAACATGGCGACCACGCAAAGTGGTGACGTCACGACGACCAAGCCCTATATGAAATAAAAAGAAGGAAAGAGATTATAGAAGAAAACATACAAGGAAAAATAACTATTATAAAAAATTTTGAAGTAAGATTCCAAAATTATTGATTACAGATTTTAAACTATGAATGTAGCAAGAAAAAAAATATGATTAAATAAGTCAATCAAATAGAGGTACCTCAGACTCAGCTCTTTTATCACTAGATGCCGAAAAGGCATTTGATAGGGTTCACTGGGAATATCTTTTTCAAGTTATGGAAAAATTTGACTGTCGTAATAATTTTGTAAAATGGGTGAAAATATTATACAACAATCCCTCAGCTGAAATAATAACTAACAAGAATATATCTAGATCAATAAAGATCAACAGGGGCTGCAGACAGGGTTGCCCATTGTCACCTTTATTATTCACTCTGGCAATAGAACCATTTGCCATTGCTATTCGCTCACACCCACATCTTAGTGGAATCACTGTCGAACCTACAGAACATAGGATTTCCTTGTTCGCGGACGATGTGATCCTTTTCATATCAAAATTAAATCAGTCAATACAAATTATTTTGGAAATAATTAAATAATTTAGTGGTATATCTGGATATAAGATAAACAGAACCAAATCTTCAATTCTTTTATTAAATGCAAATGAAAAAATTAACCCATCATTAGGTGTATTACAGTTTAAGATGGTAAATGAATTTAAATATTTGGGGATACACATCTCACCAGATTTGGAATGGGTAGCTGCGACCAACTACAATCTCATATTAAATGAAGTAGACAATTCATTTGAAAGATGGATGTCTCTACCAATGTCTATGATTGGGAGAATAAATACAATTAAAATGAATATACTGCCCAAGTTACTTTACATATTTCCGAATGTTGCTCTTCCACCTCCTCCTGAATTCTTCTCCCAAATAAAGAAGAGGATGTTACGTTTTTTGTGGAATAACAGAAAATCCAGACTCCGTCTGTCTTTACTATATCTCCCTTATGACCGTGGGGGCTTGAATTGCCCAAATTTTCACTTGTACTACTATGCTGTGCAGTTGAGATCTATGATGTTTTATTACAGTGATCAGTCGCCGCACTGGGTTGACATGGAGACTCAAGATTTAAAAGTGACTCTCCCCTCATACTTCTATTCAGATTCAGTATCAAAGCTTTTGAAACATACTAAAAATCCATTTCTTAAAAACATGATAAGCGTATGGAGAGATGTAAAAAAATTAATTAATGAGCCACACTGCTTGTCTCTGTTCAGCCCAGTGTGGGGTAACCAATTCTTTGTACCCGGTAGAGCTGACTCAACCTTTAAAGCATGGAAAAACAAAGGACTCCAGATGATTCGGGATTTTTATGTATCAGACTCAGACATACTAATGAGTTTTCAGGATCTACAACAAAAATTCCATCTAGATAAGAAACATTTCTTTAAATACCTTCAACTCAGAAACTTTATAAGAACGAGTCAAAATAATGTGCTGGCTAAACCTGCCAAATCAGCTTTGGAAAAAATGTTAACAAGGGATAGTTTAAAGGCAGGTATTATATCAGAGTTCTATCACTCACTGATGTTGCAAATATCTGAGGGATCTCATGACAGACTTAATGCTTGGAAGGGTGATTTACAGTTAGAGTTATCTGGGGAAGAGTGGCAAACAGCATGCAAATTGGCCCATACCAGCTCTATCAACACTGCACTGAAAATGATCCAATTTAAATGGTTAATGCGGGTCTATGTAACACCAGTGGACCTCAACAGATATAATGGGGAAATACCTGATGTATGTCCAAAGTGTACAGTGGATAGAGGAACTTGGATTCATTGTGTGTGGTACTGTAGGAATATTATATTGTTTTGGAAAGAGGTAAAAGATGCAATTGAGGAAATTATTTCCAAACAAATAATTATGGATCCGAAGCTGTTTGTGTTTGGACTAAGCCCAGACAAACATAATTACACTAAAAACAAATTAATTTTTATAAACTTAGGTCTGCTTAATGCAAAAAGATGTATATCACTTTTCTGGGGGAAGTCCCATAGACCGACTATAAAACTGTGGTTGCAGCAGATGGCATCTACCCTCCCTCTGGAAAAGATTACATATGTATTAAAGGGTAAACAGAATCTGTTTGAATCCATATGGAATCCCTTTATTAGGTATGTCCAACATCTGAACTTCTTGGAAGACGGCGCAAATGACTGAAGATTCTGCTCACTGCGGTTCCCAAAGAAAACTCTGTTAGAGGACATGCACTGCTGAAGTAATTATTTCAGTATATGGATGAGGTGTAGATTATGCGATGGGTTACATTGGAACTAAGAATGTGGAAGACATTTTGTTGTTTTTGTTCTGTGTTGTGTATTTCATTGTGACTTGAACCAAACTACTATTATAACTGGCATTCTTTGTTAAATGTTCAAGCGGTTTGTCTTAATTGTTAAAATTTCAATAAAGATATTTTGGGGGGGAAAAAATAAGTCAATCAACCGGTAGGGGGCGGTAATGTGCATTTTTCTGTTTTCTGCCAACCGGGAAATAATCTCTACGAAGAAGGAGTCTCACTGTTTACGGAAACGCAGTGAGGAAACCCATTCATGGATTCGTCCAAATCCGATATTCTTTGACTTTTCAGCCATTTTATTTGATTTTCCTGGATCGTATCGCCACCCTGCTGTAGAAATCCGAAGTTTTCGTCATGTGGGACCACGAAATCAGAGCCATGGCGTCCACTCACGCCATCATCGCCGGCTCGGTGTTCATGGCCACCGTCCTCCCCACGGTGCTGGTCCCCGGCTTCTCGGTGTATGGGACCCACCTGCTGTGGCTCTACTCGGTGTCTGCAGCTGTGGCTGCTGTCAGCGGGACAGTGTTCTGGCTGCTCGGCGCCACTGCGCCCACAAAGAAGCACACACTGGGATACAAGGTAGCTGCCTGTGGACCCAAGAGAGGAGAAAAAAAGATAAATGTATAGTTAGTAGGTGCTCATGTATAGCTTCTTTCTTTATTTGTAACTGCATATAAGTATTAGAAATATGTACAAATTAAAAGTCTATATATTTATATATACTGCTATAAGGGGCTCATAAATTTGAATTTAGAAGAAAAAAAACGCTTTTAATGACAAATCTGAAAAGTGTGGCTTTTAGTTATAACCCTTCAATGTAGAAAATGGCTCCCTAATTACAGGTCCTTCTCAAAATATTGGCATATTGTGATAAAGTTAAATATTTTCCATAATGTAATGATAAAACTTGAACACTTGAATTTTAGATTAGTTGCACACTAACTGAAATATTTCAGGTCTTTTATTGTCTTAATACGGATGATTTTGGCATATAACATCATGAAAAGCCAAAATTCCTGTCTCACAAAATGAAAAAGGTCTCTAAACGAGCTATGCACCTAATCATCTGAATCAACACATTAACTATAAACACCTGCAAAAGATTCCTGAGGCCTTTAAAACTCCCTGCCTGGTTCATTACTCAAAACCCCAATCATAGAAAAAACCCAGAAGACAATCATTGCCCACCTTAAGCAAGAGGGTATGACACAGACAGATATTTCAGATCCAATAGGCTGTTCCCAGAGTGCTGCATCAAGGCACCTCTGTGAGAAGGAAAATGTGGCAGAAAATGCTGCACAACGAGAAGAGGTGACCGGACCCTGAAGAAGGGCCGATTCCAGACCTTGGGTGGACCTGCGGAAGCAGTGGACTGAGTCTGGAGTAGAAACCTCCAGAACCACCGTGCACAGGTGTGTGCAGGAAATGGGCTACAGGTGCAGCATTCCCCAGGTCAAGCCATATTTGAACCAGAAACAGCGGCAGAGGCGCCTGACCTGGGCTACAGAGAAGCAGCACTGGGCTGTTGCTCGGTGGTCCAAAGTACTTTTTTTCAGATGAATATCGGTCTGTATATATGTGCTTAAACATGTTTAATGCATTATTAAAAAGTCTTAGAAGGTAAACAGAGGCTAGGTCTCCAAGAAACTTCACTAAATAGTTTTTCCTACTAAAAACTTTTCTTTTAAGATAAAATCGACTCTTTTAGTCGCTGTATAAAAAAACACAGATGATGTGGAATTTATGGGATAAAAGCAGAAAAACATTCCTACAAAACAACAACATTTGAAAACTAACTTATTTTGCAAATCGAATAATCTGTGGATTATTTCTTTGATTCAGCGATTAATAATCAGATTCCCAAAGGTTTCTCAAAAAACGTTTTTTTACAGAATTAAAACAGGTAAGTTTTAGATGGAGCATATTGACAAATGAAAAAAAAATTTAATCTTCAATGCAAAATGTTTCTATACCTTTTACAATTTTGGTATAATTAATCCTCTAAATGGGACGCCCTGCCAGCTAAAGACATGCTTTAGGGCAGAGGTCTTCAACAGGGGGTCCGCGACCTTTAGGGGGTCCGCAGAGGTACTGCATGGGGGTCGCGAAAGTCTTGGTTGATTACTTTTTTTATATTCCCTCCTGCAATTTTTTGCACTAATTAAAATGTCTTTAAATACACATTAACATGAATTCAACACACTGTAGTAAACAGATAAATGAAAGCAGAAGATGTCTTTCAGTCATCAATGCATACATTCAGCGACACACAGGAGCTCTTTCAAACCTGGGCACCGTTTCATTCACAACACCTGTCCCATCAACCAGGAATCAGATTCAGAAATGCTTTAATAATCCCAGGGAGAAATTACTTTCATTACATGACTGCATATGTAATAGAGTGACTATAGGACCAGTTTGATAAAACACAATTTCATACAATATATATAATTAGGGGGTCCCCGCTCGATCTCGCAATCAGTTTGCTTTAGAGTATACAGGTGCTGGTCATAAAATTAGAATATCATGAAAAAGTAGATTGATTTCAGTAATTCCATTTAAAAAGTGAAACTTGTATATTATATTCATACATTACATACAAACTCATATATTTCAGATGTTTATTTTGTTTAATTTTGATGATTACAAATGACAACAAATGAAAATCTCAAATTCATCATATCAGAAAATTAGAATATTGTGAAAAGGTTCAAAATTGATGGCCCCTGGTGCCACACTCTAATCAGCTAATTAACTCAAACCACCTGCAAAAGCCTTTAAATGGTCTTTCAGTCTAGTTCTATAGGCTACACAATCATGGGGAAGACTGCTGACTTGACAGTTGTCCAAAAGACGACCATCGACACCTTGCACAAGGAGGGCAAGACACAAAAGGTCATCGCTAAAGAGGCTGGCTGTTCACAGAGCTCAGTGTCCAAGCACATTAATAGAGAGGCGAAGGGAAGGAAAAGATGTGGTCGAAAAAAGTGTACAAGCAAGAGAGATAACCGCACCCTGGAGAGAATTGTGAAACAAAACCCATTCAAAAATGTGGGGGAGATTCACAAAGAGTGGACTGCAGCTGGAGTGAGTGCTTCAAGAACCACCACACACAGACGTATGAAAGACATGGGTTTCTGCTGTCGCATTCCTTGTGTCAAGCCACTCTTGAACCACAGACAGCGTCAGAAGCGTCTTGCCTGGGCTAAAGAGAAACAGGACTGGACTGCTGGTGAGTGGTCCAAAGTCATGTTCTCTGATGAAAGTAAATTTTGCATTTCCTTTGGAAATCAAGGTCCCAGAGTCTGGAGGAAAAGAAGAGAGGCACTTCATCCACGTTGCTTGAAGTCCAGTGTAAAGTTTCCACAGTCAGTGATGGTTTGGGGTGCCATGTCATCTGCTGGTGTTGGTCCATTGTGTTTTCTGAGGTCCAGGGTCAACGCAGCCACATACCAGGAAGTTTTAGAGCACTTCATGCTTCCTGCAGCTGACCAACTTTTTGGAGATGCAGATTTCATTTTCCAACAGGACTTGGCACCTGCACACAGTGCCAAAGCTACCAGTACCTGGTTGAAGGACCATGGTATCCCTGTTCTTAATTGGCCAGCAAACTCTCCTGACCTTAACCCCATAGAAAATCTATGGGGTATTGTGAAGAAGAAGATGCAATACACCAGACCCAACAATTCAGAAGAGCTAAAAGCCACTATTAGAGCAACCTGGGCTATCATAACACCTGAGCAGTGCCACAGACTGATCGACTCCATGCCACGCCGCATTGCTGCAGTAATACAGGCCAAAGGAGGCCCAACTAAATACTGAGTGCTGTACATGCTCATACTTTTCATGTTCATACTTTTCAGTTGGCCAACATTTCTATAAATCCTTTGTTTTTATTGGTCTTCAGTAATATTCTAATTTTCTGATATGATGAATTTGAGATTTTCATTTGTTGTCATTTGTAATCATCAAAATTAAACAAAATAAACATCTGAAATATATGAGTTTGTATGTAATGTATGAATATAATATACAAGTTTCACTTTTTAAATTGAATTACTGAAATCAATCTACTTTTTCATGATATTCTAATTTTATGACCAGCACCTGTATACTCCAGTGGACGATTAATTGATTACTAGATTAGTTTAGTTATTTCAATAATCAATTAATTACCATTAAGCGTATATATATATATATATATATATATATATATACACACACACACACACACACACAAACAATATGTTTTGCCATAAAAAAGAATATGGCAAGTTACTTCCTGTAACATTAGTCAGTAAACTGTTTGCTGTATTTCCTTTTGACCTTCAAATTAAACGGCAGGATCAGCAAATAAAAAATGACATTAAAACAAAGAAACTGGATTACAAAACTGAAGTCTCATTTTGCCACTAATTGCAGGTGTTTGTCTCTCTGGTTGAATTTCTGTTTAAATCAAGCATTGTCTTTATGGAGTGAAGTTACTTATGACGGGTAGAGTAGCCAGACATTTTACCCAAGTAAGAGTAGTGGTACTTCATCATATTTTTACTCAAGTAAAAGTAAAAAATATGATGCAGAAAAACTACTTAAAGTACATTTTCTCCAAAAGTTACTCAAGTAAATGTAACTACTTACTACGGCTGACAATGTGCAGTGCTAGTTTTCCTTACAAATTGCATTTTGCATGTGAACTGTACGCAAGAAGATCACAAAAAGCTGTAATATGTTTACTGGGTGGTAGTCTGCTATAAGGAACTGATAAAAGAAAACCTTTTTTAATGCAAATTGTAGGATTTATTTTAATCTGACCTTTCTGTATTTTCTTTTTGCAGCTGTCGAGGTTGTTCCGTTCATGTGTCTACTTCTTCCTGTCTTGCCTGTTCTTCCACACGGTTGTTGTTCTCTACGGAGCCCCGCTGATTGAGTGAGTAGATGGTGTCGGCTGTGAACTTGCATTACGGGAGCAACAGTGAAACAGGGCAGCGGAGGATGATTGTGGCTCTCTTTTTGCATGCTGAGATTCAATCAAACCAATAAAACATTGATGCATTTCGGTTCCCATTAATATTTCTATTGCACCATATTGTTGTATAATGGCTGTCTCTCTCCTGCCTTTGCTGCCATATTATGCATCTGACTGGATTTGTTTTTCCAGATCTGCTTTGGAGACCTTTTCGCTGGCTGTCCTTCTAAGCTCTCTGACCACACTGAGGTGTCTCTGTGTTCTCGGCCCCAACGTTCAAGCCTGGATACGAGTGTTCAGTCGATATGGGTGGGCTCTCAAACCTTTTTCTCTATTCTCTCTCTTTTAGATATCACTGTTACATTATTTTTTCCCTTTTTGTGTCTCTCTCCAGAGCTATGTCTGTTTGGGACACGTGTTTGCAGATAACAGTGGCCTGCACCCTAATTGGAGCCTGGGTGGGAGCTTTCCCAATCCCATTAGACTGGGACAGGCCATGGCAGGTCAGTGGAAAACAATTCAGACTATGCATTGTTATTGTGAGCTTCTAATATTTCTCTGATGTAAGTGCTATGGCTTTTAAAACCAAATCAAAAACAGTTTATGTCCATTTAATTCAGGAAGAATAATTAGGAAAAGAATAAACAAGAGTGAAACCATCCTCTTTTGAAAAGGCTCAAGATTGTAAAGTTGTATCTTAATGAATTTTGCGTCTTTTAAAAAGACAAACCTTGAGTAGGGATATTTAATAACAAATTCAGAACATCATCAATAGCTTCTGTTACAACCTACCAGTGACAATTCAATTCAATTCAATTCAGTTTATTTATATAGCGCCAAATTCACAACACATGTCATCTCAAGGCACTTTACAGTTCAACCAGATCATACAGTCAAATCGATACAAAGTTTTCTATCTAAGGAAAACCAGTTGATTGCATTGACTCATTGACTCAAATACAATCCCCCACACTAAGCATGCTTGTAGCGACAGTGGAGAGGAAAAACTCCCTTTTAACAGGAAGAAACCTCCAGCAGAACCAGGCTCAGTGTGAGCGGCCATCTGCCGAGGCCGACTGGGGTTCAAGGAGACAGAAGCAGAGATACAAAAAGCAGCTGTAAAAGGCGGCCCCGTCACAATGGGGGCTTGTTGAACACATTAAGTTAAACATTGGACTGTATGCCAAAGTTATTCTGGCAACAAACCTGAGCTCATCTGCGTCTCAGCAGAAGCGTGGTCCAATTGGGTTTGTTTTAGCAATCCGTTTCTTTTTCAATAAAACTGCTTCATTAGTATCTGGAAGTCTGATAAAGACGCCTATAAAGTGAATAAGAAGCAGCTAAAACAACATTCCGAAAAATGCTCGGCCAACAACCTACTGAACATGAACATTCAACTAAGCATCAATCAGAGAGGCAGCCAAGTTGCCTAATGCTACGTTCAGACCGCACGGTGCAGAAGCAGGTAGTTTACATGCAGAGTCAATGGTTGATGTGCATCAACAGGTCCTCTAGTACCTTCTGAGAAGAAGGACGAGCACCTCAAGATCTTCTGAGCATTTGACGTGCGCGACAAGCTTCAGCAGCTGCTGGAGTCGGAAAAAATAGATTTATGGTGCTCGATGCACCACATCAATCAATCAGAGAAGCTGATCTGGGAGCTGCCAGGGAGACAGACACAGCGCCACTGATGCAGATCGCTGTGATCAGTCCACTGAAATGGTTTATAAACTCCTAAATTAACTTAAAATGTCAAAACCTGCCAGCAAAATATGTTAGATTTTATTATTCTGGTGCCTGCAGTTTAGATTATGTACTGCAAAAAATAGAAATCTCAATAAGTTATTTTTTCTTAAAATAAGTGTGTTTTTCCTTGATTTGAGGAGGTAAGTAAGACACTTTGCCAATGGAACAAGACAATTTCCTTTTAAAATAAGAAAAAACTATTTTATCCTCTTATTTCAAGTAAATATTATCTAACTATCTTATTTTAAGAGTAAAAATACTCATTCCATTGGCAAATCATCTTATTTATCTACTCAAATTAAGGCTAAATTTACTTAATTTAAGCCATTTTTTACTTATTTCTGGATTGTTTTTGCAATACGTAAAAAAAAGCCTTCCAGCTCGAACAGTAGCGAAAAACTGCGGAGAGGCAACTGGGTCAGAGGCTGCAGTTAAACGGGAGTTCCAGGGACGCCTCAGACCGCCAGTGTACGGGTCTGAGCAGCTCCGACAGCGAAATAATATCTGAAGGCAGGCCATATGACACAGGAGCAGCAGAAACATCAGACGGATCTGGACACACTTTACTGGACGTCTGACCTTAATGTGGACAAGCATAAAAAATGAAGCAGCAGAATCTTTTTTGCCACTTCCAGTGCTTGCTTTTATTAAAATTAGCCAAGCGACTCCCATCGATTTCATCCGCCATTGTTACAGGCAAAGAAAGGATAGGTTAGCTCCGCCCAACATGCATCAGACTCACTTTTCGACAGCGCAGCTAGAGCAGCAAAGATGCTTCAGCCATGTGCCAGAGCTAAACTTGTTCAAACATCAAAAAAGAAGCAGCAAGTGCATTTTTGCTGCTTCTGCTGCTTGCGTTCTGAACGTAGCATAATGCTACTTTGAATCAGGTATGAAAATCTGCTGACCGGACAACTAGTTAGATTCTTTCAAATTTAAAATTTCTGAAAAAGTGTGAAAAAAAAAGCATTGTTCTTTTTATAGCATTGAAACAGTCATGTAGTGCACGGTGGTCAAAGCCCCACCCTTCATGTGAAACATAATGCACCTTCCTGCAGCCTTAAACAGCGTTAAACATTCAGCCAGAGGCTGCAATAGAAAGAGTTGGATCAAAGCATGTTCATGTGTCAGAATGTTCTAGTCAAAGTGAAAAATTAAATCAGACTTACAGACCCTGCAGATAGGAAAAATGCTGTCTGCAGACACACTCTATCCAATCTGACTAATCTAGAGCCAGTTATCTTCCACCATCCTTTCATCATAATGATCTACTTTGTCCTGCTCTGTCACACAAAACAAAACCCTAATATATATGAATAGCTGTACTGGGACAAAATTGAAAAAGTTAAAGATTTGTATAGAAAGAAGCTCCATGCTGCAAAGAGTATTTAAGAAATACAGGTTAACAATAACAGAGAAATATGTGATATGATTAAAAACAGTTTAAGTGGGGGTTTGTCATTTAAATGTTTCTACTATATACATGCCATAGTTTTCTTTTATGTTGTAGTTTTCTTCTTTAAAGGAATCTGCTAAACTGTTTCTATTATTGCAGAAAAAAATACACAAAAGAAAAAAAAAAAAGAAATATTATGTACTGAGATTCACTCTTGTTTCAACATGTTTCTAAGAACAACATCAGGGTGTTTCTAACACTTAAAGGTGAGGTTGAACAGTTCTCTGCCCATGTTCTGCAGGTTTGGCCTGTTTCCTGCAGTCTGGGCGCCATCATCGGCTACCTGACTGGACTTGTTGTTGCGCCCGCATGGATCCACTACCATCGCAAACAGCTCACGTACAAGTGCAAGTGACTGGAAAGAGCTGTGGCCGTCTGCCTGGCTTGATGGGAATGTGTCTGCTTGTTCGCTTTTTACCCGTTATTTATTGGGAACCCTGTGAATGATTTTTGTAACCACGTGTTATTTTGTACATGTTCAAGATGAGCCTGAGGATTTTTGACATGAATAAAGAATAAATTGATTAAAACTATTTAGTGATTTATTGTAGGTATTGTAGTTTTTGTGCTCAAACTTAGAATTTGTGTTTGGTGCAAAATCATGTAGAGTCACTCAGTTTTTTTTTTTTCTTACTGATTTCTACAGTTACATCTTAATAAATAGTCATGAAGTCAAAGAAATAATTTAATAATAATTACTATTATTAACTAGAAAAAGCTGTTTCGGAGAAACAGCAAGTGGGAATGCTTTTGCTGAATGAATAAAGCTGAAATTAACTGCAGAACATATGAAAATGTGATAGGAAGTCATCAGAAACTTCAAACTGCAGAAAACAATTGAATCATCTGAAGATTTTTGTAGGGTAGAATTATTTGGCACTAAAATGGCAGAAAGAAACTCATCTTAAAAGCTGCACAGCCAAACCATACATAATATCAAAAATGTCATTAATATGTGCACTAGAAGGGTCTTAATATAATGTCTATCAAGTTTCTAGAAAAATTTCTAAAGAAATTTTGAAGTGGGGCCACCTACTGCCCAGAAACATGTCAGGCATGTTATGAATTAGCAGCAAACAGAAAAGCTTAATTCCTGTCCAGAAAAAGAGCAAAATTAAGCCAAGGTTCACAGCATAGGCTGAACAATATAAAATTAGCTGAATCAGAAAAGAAATTACAAAGAAAAAATTGAATCTTATCTGGTTGAAGAAAATATGAGTAGCTCAAGGATGGGAAGTAAAATGTTGAGGAAGATGGTATTGAATAAGTATCAAAATTTTGAAATTGTGGAAATGTCAAGACTTGGCACAACAATTTGAAATGATTTAAAATGTGTTGGTTGATCAGCATAAAGAAAACAGTGTCATCCTTAGAGGATTGAAAATATACAAACCTATGTGCAAGACTGACCATGAGAAGCAGAGGAAGGACAGAGAGAGAAGCTTATAGAAAGAGAGTTAATACCACTTAAGGAGCTGAATTTATAAAAAAAAAACTAACCTGCATGTTACGAGCCGCTGCAGTGATGAAAGCACCGTTGGCAGGCTTAGGCTGCATGTTATGAGGTTAGCAGATGCTGTATCTCAGTGTAAATCTTAGAACCTGGTTAAGAAATATGCTCTGAGGTCTGTGGTCAACAGGCCTTGGTAGTGTAATTTGAAGAAATTGGTTGAATTTGGGTCATAGCTACAAGCCACACGGCACAATGAATGAGTGTGTGTAAGGAAGAGGCTTTTATTTTGTAGAGTCCCTTTAGTCTTATTTTGAAAGTCTATCATGGATGTGTGTCAAGGGAAGGGTCATGCCCAGCAGTTATATAGAATCCATTTCTAAATATGAAATCACTGGTTTTTCATGTCATTGGGTGAATAGATGCTGTATTAGAGCGTAAATGGGAGACTTTTATTGTGAACTTCACTCCGGGGTATGTTTTGAAAAGGTCCCTAGAGTCTAATAGAAACAAACTGGTAGAGTTTGGGTCATAATGCTGATCCATTTGCATCAATTAATATGCGTGTATAATATAGAGGCTTTTATTTTGTAGGGTCACTGGAGTCTTATTTTGAAAGTCTAGCAGTAGTGTGTTGAGAAAAGGGTCAGACCCAGCAGTGATACTTGATGACTTTCCAATCATTAAATCATTCTTTCCCCTGTTATTAGGGCAGTAGATGAAGTGGCAATGGGAGGCTTTTATTTTGAAATTTGCTGTGGGGTGTGTTTTGAAAAACCCCTAGAGTCTCATTTTTAAAAAAAGTGGTTGAGTTTGGGTCATAATGTTGAGCCATATGCTGGGAAAAAAATATGAGTTTAATGTAGGGGCTTTTATTTTGAAGGGTCCCCGGAGTCTTATTTTGAAAGTCTATCAGGGTTGCGTGTGAAGGGAAGGGTCATGGCCAGTAGTCATATTGTATCCACTTCCTAATGTTAAATCAGTGTTGTCTCCCTCCATTAGATTAAAATGTGCTGTTTAAAGTGGTGGAGGTAAAATCTCTTTGAAACACGGTTACCTTGACGACGTTAACGAGCCTGTCAGTGACAGAGAGACATGCGCATCACTTTCGTTCCTTAGTTCTCAGGCTTTTTTGAATGGGATTATCAGCTCCGAACAAACGAGTGCTGAAGACAAACCGTAAATGGTATCTAAAAAATTCTTTCAGTCTAAGCGACAGCTATCCTTTGTCTCCAATTGGGGTAACTTTCATAGATGTAGCTCATTCACAACCTTAATGGGAAGGAGGAATAAAAAGGTTTGAGAAATCCTGCTGGTCTCATTGAATACCATGCAGCACAACGGTAGAGCAGAACTCTCAAAAGCAAAACTTTCCCTCCGAACAAACGAGCGGTGAGCCAAAACCGTATTAGGTATTCAAAAAATTCTTTCACCGTGAGTGTCAGCCATCTTTGGACTACAACTGGTGTAACTTTCATATTTCTACAATATTTCGTCTAGGCGTGGTGACAATGTAAAAAAGTGTATAATTGTCAAAATCTTGATTTTGGGGTTCGGACAGATTTGTTACCCCCGAACAAACCTTTTTCCTAGCTAAACGATAAAAGATATCGACACACTTCCTTCAATGTGAGTGCTAGGAAGCTCTGAGGAACAACTTCCACAAGGCTCGTGTTGCTACGTCGAACGGTTCCCGAATGGGAGCGATACGAAGAAGTCTGTTTTTTTGAATTTTCATTTCGGATTTTCAGAGATCTCTCATTGGATTTCTATTGGGGAAGTGTGGACTTCTTCGTGGTCTGGGTTAAACTGTCGGAAAACCGTAAATGCCACACAGATGAGGGTTACATTTCCTGAATCCTGACAAAAATCCCTACGTTTTGATGTAAAATTTATCTAGATAGAGTAAAAAATGAGCGAGTGAGTTGAAGCTGTTCGGCATGAGTGAAATGTTTGAAAACGCTAGAGTGGCACACTCTAGCAGCTGAACATTCCGTCCATAGACTTCCATTATAAATTTGAAAATTTGTAAAAATTGTTTAAAAGTTTGAAGCTTCACTGAAGCAAAACTGTAAAAGTTAGCTGAAAGCCGAGTTAAACAGTAATAGCAGAAAGATACAGATACATTTTAAAAGTTGAATGGTGTTTCTAGCTGAAAGTATGCTGAAGTAGTTAAAGGGCAAAGTAGCTGAAGATTTAGTGGAATTTTTGAAGTTTTACATGCATTTCAATGGGGCCAAAAAAACGCAGAAAAAGCTGAATATCGCGAAAACTACAAAAAATATCTTAACCAAAAGACATAGCAGAATTCTCCTGAACGAGCTGAACGTTTTGATACCAAAATGGTTGAAATCGGTTGAAAACTGTGGGACTAGTTAGAGTCAGAAAAATTAAAAGTGAACAACAATAAGTGGGAATGCATAAGCATTCCCACTTGATTAATTACTATTCATTCAAAAAGTAGAACCCATTAAGATCAGTCAATTGTTATGGTGGCATACAGCTAAAACGATACATAAGAGCAATAAATATGCTGTTCATGAAGAAATGTTGGCCTATGTATAAGTATATCGTTGTATTATGTGGAATAATTTCGCTGGAGCTCATATTACATGTATTACTGCTTCATTGCAGTCGGAGTATGAAGACAAAAACAGTAAACCACACAAAGTATTCATTAGAATAAAAACTTTATCCAGAAACATTGAAATTGCCTTTGGGGTCAAAAAGGTATTTCTGATTTGAAAGTTTTGTGGAAGAAAACCGTGTGGAAAAAGTTCACAATCAATAGTTGCAAATCTAGTTTTGAGATGATTGTAGAGCAGAGCGCTTTTTTTGGGAATAAAAGATCTGAATGTGAATGGACTGCTCCGGCAGGCAGTACCTGAAAAACTAACACACCTAGTCTAGGAAGAAAATAAGGAAAATAAGTTACTCGATTGGTTCAAGGTCCGATCTAAATATGTCTGATTCTTTTCATTACATATTACATCAGTTTAAGACAAATATTTAATGTATGTGTGACACAGAAAAAATTATGCCATCCAATGTATTTTTTCCAGACAAATATTTTATATTTTTCAAAAAATACAGATTCAAACCAACAGCCTTATTTTCCTGACCTCATCTTTTAAAACTCATTTACCAGAAACTTTCATCTCCCTGTTTACAGGGAGATAAAAATTTTAAAACTCACCTGCTGCTCATGTTAAGCAAGCTTTGTAATGGTGGCTAGAAAATGTTACAGAGAACTCAGTAGGAGAAGGTCCTGGTGCTTCCTTAAGAAACTTGCATGTCCAGACGTTTTCTTACTATTAAAAAATCTCTTACCTCGAAGCTCAGACTGAGTTGAAATGGGATTCTTTCAAGTATGGCTTTTTTTGTACATGTTTGAGCACAAATAAGGTGATTTTAGTTGGACTCTTTTATATCTTAACCATTTCTATGACTTCACTTAAATAACCTTAGCACATTTTTAAATTTGCCAAATCTAACATATAGTAGAAATAAGATAAATAAACCTGATCTTTCTGCACAAAAGTGCAAAACAATGGGAAACTACCTGGGGTAAGACTGCAGGTGGTGCTGCTGGATCACAATTTCCAGCCCCAGTTATTGGCACTCTTCGTAAAAGCATCATTAAAAATAATGAGTCTCAGATTACAGTAATAATCTCTTCTTAAAATAAAAATAAAAACATTACATTTCCTAATTCTGCAAACGGTATATTTGTCTGCTCTGTTTTTAGGAAAGAACTACCTCAGTCTTCTTCTATAAAATTTGGTTATAGAGAGAGAGAGGGCTCTTAAGTGACGTTCCAACAGCTTGAGCAACCTGCTGATTCATATAATCTGTACTAGTACTCTGTTGAATTTATGTTATTCTACTATTTTAAAGAGCCTGGGCTGCTATTAACAGTCTCTATCTAATAATAGGTGTGAGGAGCTTCATTGTATTCCTTCATTATTTAACTACCAACCACATCTAAAAAG